ACGGGGCGATTCGGCCGCGGGTGGACGTCGCCCTTCCACGCCACCCCCGGTGAGAAGTTTACTGCGATAGAGCGGTTCCTGCTCCCTTCGCTCGTCGTGAACTTCGCCACGGCCAGGTGGACGTTCAACCGACTTTCCACACCCGTTGCCTCCGGAGTGGAGTTTTCCCGGACGCTAGAGATCAACGGGGTGTACATGGCTCGTCGGGGAATGTCCGTTGCCCGCCTGGATAGCCCCTCGCCAATGTCTTCGCGTAGTTGGATGCTCGTTTTTCACTCCTTGTCGTTTTTTCTTTAAAAAGAGATCTGGAATATCAATGTGGCTGCCAAAAAAAAAATGTGTGACACAAACTATTGAATAAGATTATTTGCTTAACGTGGTTTAGGATATATACGTTTTTTTTCTATTGTATTTTATAGTGAGGGTTTATCAGGAGAACAAGAGACGGAGCAGGAGAAAGTATTGTGTCACACCGAGGGGTCCAGGGTTCTCGTGGATGTCTCCACAACGTAAAAGCAGGGCTTGAATGTCCTTAGTGTATTTGAAGCTGTATATCTGGAGACCAGATAAACGTTAACAGTGCTCAATCGGAGTGTTTTATCCGCTTGGGCAGCCTCTGAGGAGACCCCTGTCGAGTGCCATATTCGTACCACTAAACATGCCTATATGCCTCTGTAAAAGTAAAAAGGCATGCAGGTGCTTAGCTTCGCCGATTGTCAGTGGCCCGCCGCACCACCAAGAGGTGGCCGGCATATACCATGGAGGATAAAGCATCGTAAAAGGTTTCATTGCGTCGAAATGGATTTCACCTGAAATTTGTCGTGTTTTCGCTTTCAGCGGAAGAATAAGTGCGGATGAAGTGAGTGTGTGATGCCAAAGGAGAATAGAAAGCAAGGAGTCGAGAACGATTACCTTTTCTTTTGTTTTCCATACGGTTGCTAATGGAAAGGAAAAGGATTCGGTGGAGCACACCTACATTCAATTAGAGAGAAACGCTCATCCCACCCATTTCCAAAAATCAATAAATTGAAGTATGATAATCGATTCCCACCAAACCCATAAGAGATGACAATGGATCCCCCTCCAGAAAGAATGGGTGCAATGGGAGTGATACCAAGAAAAAGGGTGTCAACAAGACTTGGTATCACCGAGGATGAGGGGGGAAACCACCTCCTAGATTTCCATTGTTTTTTTTTTAGAAATCTAATCGAGGGATCCTGCTGGTTTAAAATTCATCATTATGTGTTTGAAAATGTTCTCTTCCATGCGATGACTAAAAACTAGGAGTCTTTTAGTAATTCTATAGAAGAGGAAGAAAAGTGGGAAAAGGATGCGGGTTCCCGGAGCAACGTGTAGAACGACATTCAGAAACCCAACGAACACAAACCGTATCGTGTGATTTTTATTATTTATTGTGATTAGAGGAGGTGAAACCACACCCCTACATCCCGTTTCTCCTCCCCCCCCCCTAATGTGAGTTTTACGTCACCGAATGAGTTTTCATGGAGTGGAGCGCCATGAGGGCGACCTCGGCCGCGGCGCTCTCCGCCTCCGCGCGACTAATCCACCACCGCTCCCCGCTAAATCGCGCGATGCCGCCTTTTTTATTCAACAACGGCAACTCCACGGCGGCGCGAAAGACCCGTCGCCCGCCGCGTTTCCCCCCATTCCCCCCGTCCACCCCCGCGGCGCGTCGCTCCGCCTCCGTCAACTCCGCGGCGCCGCGCTCGTCGACGACGAGACGACAGCTTTTCGCCGGCGGCGTGTGCGGCCACCGCCGCGCGCACTCCGCGAGGAGGTCCTCCTTCACAAACCGCTTTTGCTGCATCGCCCGACGCTCCTCCACGGCCGCGCGCGGGGCGGCGACGACGACGTTCCCGCTCGTTCCCTGATGCAACCGCGCGTTGCCGCCGCCCCGGCCGATTTCGGCGGTTTCGCCCGGGGGTTTCTTTCCTTTTCGATCCGCCTCGGCGGTTTCGACGGCGCCGGAAGGGGGGGGGTTATTCTTGCGAAGGTCGCGTCGGGCGAACCCGGTGAGGCCGCCATCGCGGCGGTGGAAAACCTTCCCCTCGGCGATCAACTCCCGCACCGCGACCCAGGCGAAGCGGAGTTGGTCGAGTTGGAGGTAGGTGCAACACCCCAACCGCGCGCGCGGTTCGTAATGCACGAGAAAGTGATTATGCCCGGGGAGAAGGGAAAAGCAGGCGGTGGAGTTCGTAATCGTGGAAAGGCCCTGATGCGGGTTCGTATACTGAGCGCGATGATCGCCTTCGACTTTCGCGCGGGTGATCGTGCGGGGCCCGCGTGGGGTAGGAAGGGTGAGGCCCTGCACGATGTGATAAAGCTCCGTGTGTTGCGGAATTAAGGTGGGTTGGATGTCGAAGAAAGCACGAAAGCGAGGGAGCAACGCGAGGGCCTCCCGCACATCCGGGAAGGGAATTCCACCGGGATCGACCGCTGCGGAGTCGTCATCTTTGGAGGGTCGTGTGATCCACCCGGCAAGTTCGTACACCGGCAGGAGCCATCGAAGGGCGGTAAAAAGGGTGATCCCGTCGTCCTCGACGTCCTCGTGAGGGCTGCCGGACGCCTCGGTATCATCATCGGGGTCTTCGAGCCGTACGAAACGAATTGGATACTCCAAAGGCTCCTTCGGGGGCGGCGGCATCGGCCCTTCGCTCGCCACAGACGACGCCATTTAGCCGTTCGTCCAGACTTTTACTTTCTTTTTTGTTTTTTTACCCGAGCTCCTCTCGAAAATAAAAAGCAGGATTTACCACCTGTTTTGGACAATCAAGTAAACCGAACAGGATGGAGCACTATGGAAGATCCCCTCCTCGCTCGAAAAGACTCTCCACCTCAGAAGGAAACGGATCCCAAAGGATTCACAAGGAGAAATAAGGATCTTACCATAGGAAGAGAAATGAAATTAAATGAAAGGGGAATAAAATACCCTTGTCAGTTCGGACTTTAGCACTAAGAGGGATGGACTTCAGTGTTGACTTCATGCACAACACTTACGGTCTTTCATTTGATTTATGAATGTTTTCACATTGCTAGTTATATAGATATATCGATATATATATACATAATCTACACTCTCTTTAGTGATAACATTGCTACACAGAGGCCAGAAAAGAGACGATAAAATGCAATTTTTAATAGCTTCTGGATAAAAGCTTTAGATGTCAAACGTCTTCTGCTGCCGCCATCCATGATGAACATGCGATGCATGTTCTCAGGGTACACGATCGAACTCACTCTTGTCGGTGTACGAAGCGGCGCCTGACGACAGCCTTCTCTTCGTTACAATGTGAATTTTGATAATCAACGCCCTCATAGACACCTTCCACGCACTTCCAGTGCGTTGTGAAGCGATGAATGCGCGAAATTAGATAGAAAAAAACGCATTACTCCACCCCTACCTCTTCCACAGATCCGATTTCCTGATCGGGGATAATGTTCCACGGGTTGTTTTCTCAAACACGGACGCAAGATGTTATGCAGAGCAGCTCAAACGACAAGTTCCTCGTCCATCGCCTACATGGAGCTTCCATCGCATTACTTTTGAACAGGGAAAGTGTAAAGATAGTGTAGCGTTGATGTTTATACCTAAAATCCCATCAAAGTGTCAAACTCCCTGCGATCGGGCGGCCGTGAGCTCTGGAGTGATGCTGGTAAGAAATGCACAGGAGATTTGCCTCCTCAGACTTCCATCGTGCTCCATATTGTGCGATTCAAACTAGCTAATGTTCCTTTATGCTTACATTGCCCTTCGGCGGTTGTCCACCCCTAAACAAACAAAAAAATGTCAATATCATGCGAAAAGGAAGTTTGTAAATATTAAGCAGAGTAACCCGAAAATCGATGCATCTAAGAGGTACCCCCCCAAAAGTATTTTTGGTTTCATACAAGAGATATATTATGTGCGTAAAAATTTCAAACCAGAAAACTTTATTTATCCCAAGAAAAGCGCCGCAGTTTTGGTAGCTTTGACAAAAGATCAATCTTAGCAAGGGTATTTGATAAGAGGTGATGAGGGTTGATATATTACCATGAGCTATCTTCTTTGAAATATGGTTTACAAAATGTTTATGTTGCACTTTAGACATTATATAAGGAGTGCGTGAGAAAAAAGAGATGATCTCGTTGCTGACCTTTTCTAGCATAACATGAGGAAAAAGATACAAACTTCTTGTGAAAATAGTAATGATAAATAAGAATAAAGCATTCTCATCAAGACAATAAGATAGCGCCGTTAGAATTTATTCTTCAAAAAAGCAAAGGAAAATTAGTAATTCTAAACATATTGAGAAGACATTTTTGTAAGTGCAAATAAGTATTTTTAAATACCAAAAGGAGAAAGCAATCCATCGTTATTTATTGTGTATTCCGCAACCCTGCCGTGAAAAAACATCATTAAAAGAAAAAAAAGAGAAAAGGAAGAGGAAAGGTATTGCGTGTACGCATGCTTGATTTAGTATTGCTTCACTTATCCCCCGCAATACCCCCACTTCAGACGATTCTTTCCGCGCCATTCCTGTAGGCATGATATCTTAAGTCTAATTTTAACTGTTTTTGACACCTTAGCTTTTCAGTAAAACGCCGCTTATCACGAAGGAGTTGAAGTTTGGTATAAACACATCGATTAAAATTCATATGCTTCTGACATTTCCCTTCTACCCTCTTGTGCAGCTTGCGGCTTTGGCGTACCGCGAGCGTTGCGCTTCACCTTTGAGGGTACGAATTAAGCCAAGAAAATGTGAAGCTCCCAAGATCAACTAAGAACTCCCTCCTATTTTTTTTCCTTCCGATGCGGTTTGTTCCCATCGGTCCTTTTCATCCAACCAAATGTTTTCAAGGCCGCGTGCTTTCAATAGGGGATCCCCTTGGCGTGCTTTCCTCTTCTCGTGCGTTTTTTTAAATATATATATATATATATATATATATATAAGTACTTATTGTA